GCCATGGACTGGTAGGACACAGAGGAATTGTGAGAGGAACCATCTGGAGAAGCACCAAGGGAAGAAGGCTTAGAGCCCAGGACATGGTGGTCGGACAATGATGAGTGGTGAGAGGCAGAAGATGGTGAAGGGGAGGTGTTGGAAGCTGAAGAGATAACAGGGGTCAGTGAGCTGGGAGAGTCTGTGGCAAAGAGAAGCTGAAGCAGATAAATGGGAGGAGGGAGACCAAGAGGCAGAGATGAGTCAGGCTAATGAAGAGCTATGGGTGTCTCTGCCTCCTGCTGTGACAAGCTTCCTGCCTGACTCCCAGAACCAGGAGAGGCATGAAACGGGCAGAGCAAATACAGGTTGCACACAGGTGCAGTCTCCAATTGCTTGGGAAAAGCCCTGGAGAGGGGGAGACATTGATGGCTGTGGGGAGGTGGGGACCTTTAGTCTTGGCAATTGGTTTCATGGAGGAAGACCTACAGGGTATGAGCTGCTGTGCTCATTAGGCCTGACACTCATCCAAGTCTGTGAAGACCATATTTTTGCTAATAAAGTGTTGCCACCAACTTTCCAACTGTGTGATCTAATGACCAGCTTACTCTGTGACATCTGGTTGGCCACTGTCAGGTGGACAGTGCTGGACTGGATGGGCCATTGGTCTGATCCAGCAGGCTATACTTTTGTTATTGTGTTAATACAGCATATGGGGAGAAATGTGCTTCAAAGAGTTAAGTAAGTGGGGAGTTGTTCAGTGTGCGGAGAAAGAAAACTTTTACAATTATACCAAAGTCCCTCAGGCACTTGTAACTCTCAGTTCCTGCTTATTACTTCACAATTTCAGCTAGGAGGAATGAGATTTTCCTCATTGTGGTCTATATGTGAAATGATGTTCATTGTGCATAATCTAATCCAGATGACAGTTCTGGAAACAGGAAGCTAGGAAGAAGGTGGAAGTAGAATAACCAAATTGGCTTGGAATTAGTTTCCATTGCTGTACTTTTTTCACAGCTTCCTATCATGTTCTGCCACAGCGTAGCCAGTGCTTAATGAGTTCCTTCAATCCTCTTGCATTTGCCTTCATGGTGTCTGGAGCAGCTTTTCATTTATCTCCACAAATTGAACTCTTATATGAAGGCTTGTGAAGTTTGAATATTATGAAGAGGGGTCATTGATAGCATTGATTGAGTGTGCCCACACTGCATGTGAAGCTACCTCTACTTAAATAATTGAGAAGGATTAAAACCCTTTTTTGCAAGTGGTCGAGATTGAAACATAGTCCTGCAGTCCTCAAAATATAGGTACCTGCGCTAATGAGCAAATTCCCCAAAGCGATTATGGCTCTTGGACAGAGTTAGAATTTCATTCCATTGTCATTATGACAAACCACGGCAATTTATTTCTTTAAAGGAGGCATGGGAAAGAACATGGTATAAATTTTATTACCAGAGAAGTGGGGTATTTAAAAGAAAATAACCAGCGGAACCCTTTGTTATCAATCTCTCCCTTATATGCTCCTCTTTCTCAAGTGAGGTAACAATTAGGATTCGGTTTCCTTGCTCCTTGTCATGGTGTAGAATAGGGGAAGGGGGGAGGGCTGTGGATGTGGATGTCATTCTGGTAGCTACTGTGATGAAGGAGGAGTTCTTTTGGTCCCCCCTTTTTTACAGTGGACCAATCCAATCCTGCATATCTGAACTTGCTCACAAATCAGAACACATGTATCAGCTGGACTAGGTCCTTCTCCAGATGGTGTAATTCAGTTTCAGTCCCCAAAAGTGCACACACACACACAAAATATGTAGTTTATATTTTTAAAATGTGTGTGTGGGAAATGCAGTGGAAAATGCACATGTAGAAGAACGTAGGAAATGTGTGCAGTGTACATGCAGAATTTTCATGCATTTCTTCAGGCTGCATTTAAGATAAGCACTATGGTGAATGCCCAAAACAGTGGGGTAAGCAGCCTGTGCATTGTATTTTCTCTTCCCATGGTATAAGGTTTCTTTGTTTTTTTAGAAATGTAATAGAGAATCTACTACCAACCACAGTCTGCAGTTTTCTGTCTGAAAACTATAGCCACTTTTTTTGCCTGAAAGCAAGAATAGTTGACATGGTATTGCCCAGATATTGGGGTTAGAATTAAAAACAAACCTTAGGATGCCATCCTCGTTATTACTCATGCACAAGTTCTTTATCATGCCATAAGCAACAGCAGGATAGTGTTCTCAAAGCAGTACAGTGTGAAACTAGCTAAGCACTCCCAGGTTCATTATAATGTTGATGAAAAAGCAGAATCTTTCTTGTAAGTTATGTAAGATTTAATCATCCTTCCCTCCTCCTTAAATTATATTACCATTTGCTTTGATGTTTTTCAAAGCCGAACTTTCTGACAAAAGCCTGATCATCTAGAAATAGCCTTGCCAGGGATGGTTCTCTCTCTCTCTCTCTCTCTCTCTCTCTCTCTCTCTCTCTCTCTCTAAGGTTAATTCTCTTACAAGGAATGGCTGGCCTTTCGTGCCATAAAAAGCATGTGCAAAATGCAGACACAGTTGAAAAACCCATATTGGGTCTTGTAACTTCCAAAGAACTAGGTTGCTTCGCAATTATGACCGTACTATCCTGATCTCATTCTTTCTCTAGCTCTGTCTTTTTTTCTTTTTCTTTTTTTCACTGAACCAGGCCTTCAGGGACTAAGCATTAATGTTCTTTTCTTTTTCTCCTTGTGGTTGCTTCATGACTAATCTGCCTCCTTGTTTTAGTGTTTGTCACTATGTGTTTTAATTATTGCTATTGTACCCGCAAGGTTAAGCATGCCATTATAATCAAATATTCAGGCTTTAAGGGTAGGGTGGGGAAAATTCTCTCTCTAAAAGGCCTCAGTGACAAGTCATCCCCCCAGCCCTTGCCAAACACAGGCTTTATAAATTATACTTTAGCTTCAGGGACTTTTGAGGATTTTGCTTATTTGTGCATTAAGTACGAGGATGGACATGGAAAGTGTCCTGTTTTACAAAGAACAGCCTTCCACATGCCCACCAACATTTCTCCAGTGAAAATAGGGATTCCTATTCAGTAATAATAATAATTATTATTGCCCCAGCCACTCTGGGCGGCTTCCAACATACTGTATATAATAACATAAAAAAATGATAATTATTTTTTAAAAACCTTCCCTATACATGGCTGCCTTCAGTTGTCTTCTAAAGGTTGTATAGTTACTTTCCTCCTTGGCTCAGGGGCCACATAATGCCATACCCTCCAACATTTCTCCAATGAAAATACAGATGTCCTAAGGAAAAGCAGGATGTTCTGGGATCAAAACAGAAACCGGGATGGCTTCTGTAAATCCAGGGCAGTCGCTGGAAAATAGGGACACTTGGAAGTTCTGCTTCTATTAGAAGGGCTGTCTAAGGTGATCTCTATCTGAAGAGTTCAGAACACAAAGGGAAAGCTACTGTATTGTGCTAAAGGGTCATCTAGTTCTGCACCCCATTCTCACAGTGGGCAGCTCAGTGCCTTAGGAAGCCCACAAACAGGACCTGAGTGCAACAGGACTTTCTCCATTTGTGATTCTCAGCAGCTGAGGTATATCGTCTCTGACAGTGGAGGAAGAATATAGCCAATACCAGTAAGGTAAAGGTAAAGGACCCATGGACAGTTAAGTCCAGTCGAATTTCACTTTGTGGTGCGGCACTTATCTCTGCTTTCAGGCCAAGGAAGCTGGCGCTTGTCTGCAGACAGCTTTCTGGGTCATGTGGCGAGCATGACTAAACCACTTCTGGTGAACGGAGGACCGTAACGAGTGCCAGAGTGCACGGAAATGCCGTTTATCTCCCCACTGCAACGGTACCTATTTACTCACCCTGTTGTGCCCTTGAGCTGCTCGGTTGGTAGGAGCTGGGACAATGCAACAGGAGTTCACCCCGTTGTGTGGATTCGAACTGACAACCTTCCAATCTGCAAGCCCAAGAGACTCAGTGGTTTAGACCACACTGCCACCCACGTCCCCCTCAATACTAGCAGCCATTGAGGACCTTATCCTCAATGAAGTTGTCTAATCCTCTTTTAAAACCATATAGATTTGTGGTTGTCATGGCCTCTGGTCTAATCCAAGTTTGGTTTAAAGAGAAATAATCATCAGAAGAGAGGCAGGGGCTGTGAAATTGTCTGTCAACTGTTATAAATATCTGGACAGGAGACTGGGTGGGGTACAAATAATAAAATTGTTGTCATTGTTGTTGCTGTTGCTGTTACTATTAATATTATTGGGGTCACCTGGTCTTTGGCACCATGGCGAAATGCATTTAAATAAAGTATATGAATTTCTTCTAATCTTGCATCTATACATAGAGGAGGATATCAAATTAAGTTATGCTCAGAGTAGGTCTGTTGATTAACACTGGGTATCACCCATAAATCTGTGTATGCAAATTTTATGCAAACCAATGTCCTTTTCTTGGTGATACATAAGTGGCCACACTTTCTTGACACTTCTGCCTTGGAGCATTAAGTCTATTACCTATGTTAATGAGCTCAGCCTCGCTCCACTATAATGCAGATAAATCGTTTACTTGTACTAAGTATAGATATACTGAATCTTGAATGCTGTAGAGGTTAAATTGTTTTTCAAAGGTCACACACACAAACACATGCTGGTGGTTCAAAAGGTCAGCCCAAGAAACAGAAACGTGAAACCTAGTTATTTTGAGAAACAGAAATTTGGCAAAACTCTGCCACTCTTCTGGTTGGCTCAACAATTGGGAGGGGAAGTTGAGGCTGGCATGTTAAAATTATAAGTTCAGTATACCTAAAATGCTGTGTTTGAATGCATTGTATTTTAAATGTTGCAATGGGATGTTTGGCTTAAGCAAAAAAGGTTCCACTCTGGTAAAAGTGTCAGAGAAGGCTGGTATTTTTTTCCATTAGAGTGAGATAAGCTACCTGATGACTCATCTCTGGAAACATGAGCTGCAGAGCTCTCACTGCAGGAAGCCGAGACATTAGAAGCCTATGTGTGCTTGGCTGGAGATGGCTAGCAGCAGCAGCAGCAGAAGTTGAAGAAAAGTTCTACAATGATGAAGAAACTTGGAATCTCCCTCTGGGACCACAAAGAGGATAGTTTACTGAACTGCCTAAAGGAGGGAACCCCCACTGCTTTTAATGTTGATTTTATTGTAACTAGTGTTTAAGACTGTTCTGCAGTAAAGCTTTGAAACTCATTCTTGTGATGGAAAGAATTCATCCAAATCTGGGATTCCACTGAACAACTTTAGCATGGCAATCAGGAGGAAAAGAGCTGAAAGCAGAGGAAGGAAACCAGGGTGGAGAGTTGCAGGGCACTCTCTGTGTGTATCCACATTATTTTCATCTTCTAATTGATATTCCAGCCTCAAATGCAACCACAGTAAGCTTTTCAAATCATTCAGTAAAATATAAATTTTCTGATGCCTTGATTTTCATCCTATGTCTAGTTGGCTTACCATACCACCCAGTATTTTGAGCTGGCTGGGACACTAAGGAACACTTTAAGAGGCAAGAAAGTCGTAGAACACAAAGGACTGTTTTAGTGCATCCAAGCAAGAGAATAAAGGCATTCACATTGTGGCAGTAAATTTAGGAAGCTCATTCTCTTCCCCTCCCTCTTCTGCTGCAGGCTACAGCCCATGGACTCAGCTACATTAGTTTTTTTTTTTTAAGTTATAAATGTGTTATAATGCTGTGACACCAGCTGTAGAGCTGAAATCAGAACTGTGAAATTTTCCATTATGAGTTTTAAAATGTTTTAAAACGTGGGAATGTAGAGAAAATAATTTTTTGGGGGGAAATGATATACAATGAATTGAAAAAAAAATGTTTAAAATGACATTTGTAAAAAAAACCAGAAGCATTTTTGTTAGGGATTGTAGGACAAGACCTGCCAAGAAAAACAAAGAACTTATTTATGTATGCTACAACAGCAGCAAGAGTCTTGATGGCGCAAGAATGGAAGAATGAGGAAATCCCAATGAAAGAACAGTGGCAAAGAGTGTGCTTTACCACTAAACCATGGTTGTCCTTAGAACAGGTGTGGGGATGTTTGACCTTCCAGATGTTGTTGAACTACAACCCACAGCAGCCCCAGCAAACATGGGCAGGGTTGATGGAAGTTGCAGTTCATCAACATCTGGAGGGCCAAAGGTTCCCCATACCTTTCTGTCTTCGGGGAAGGGGAGGAAATATGAACAAGGGGCAGGGACTCCAAGTACCAACATCAGAATGTGCTGATCACATAGTAACACAGAAATGATAATATCCAACTTCTACTTTTGATGCTGTTTGGTGCCTAGCAGTGTTAAGGTTCAATAGAATGTGTTTCCTTACATTTCAGTTCCTTCGCTCTACAGCATGGTTAGGCAAACTAAGCCCCGGGGGCCGGATCTGGCCCAATCGCCTTCTAAATATGGCCTGCGGATTGTCCGCAGTGTGCTTTTACATGAGTATAATGTGTGCTTTTATTTAAAATGCATCTCTGGGTTATTTGTGGGGCATAGAAATTCATTTATCCTCCCCCCCAAATATAGTCTGGCCCCCCACAAGGTCTGAGGGGCAATGAACCAGCCCTCTGCTGAAAAAGTTTGCTGACCTGCTACAGGATTGGTTGGCTGCCTGTCGGGGGCTCAGCTAAGTTGTATTTGTGTATGTGTGTGCTCCTGAGTTTTGGGTGGTATTAGCGAAAAAGATCTCCCATCCCCTAATTCCCCAGTTCCACTCTGTTTTGTCTTGAACAGGCAGATATTTGTAGGAGATTGAACCCTATCTGCTTTCTCCAACATTGACCACTTCCCTGGTCCACCCAGGTTGGAGGTCACATGCCTGCTCCACTGTGGAAGCTAGGAATGTTTTCTTTGGCTTGCCTTGGTTGAGGAGATCCTGAAGTTCTCCAGCCTTACCTGCTGCTTTAGGGATTATTGTAGACTGGACTGTAAATAAGGATTTCCTTTTTGACAAGCATCGATTTAAGAAGAAACTTGACAACCTACTTACCTTTCACCAGCAGCTGCCTCTTTGTATCAGAGTAGAGCTGGAATACAAATGCACCGAGACACATTTTTGAGCATGATCCTTCAGCTCAAGTGTCTTTTTTCAGCTTCGGATTTTTCTCTTCATGAAGTCTAACAAGCAGATCAATAGCAGAAATTCCAAGTTTACACCTGGTGTATTGTCTACTGCAAGATAGTGTTTGTAAGTATGGTGGTGTTTTTGTGTGTATTTATCTGCAGAGACTATAGTCTTGTGATGGTCAGTACAAAATTGCTACAGAACTATCTCTTCCTTTTTGAAAAAATAACTGATGAAGGTTTGGACACCTAATTAATGGTAGAAGAAAATTAAATGGCCAGTTTGGTGTAGTGAGGAACACTCTGTCCCTGTTATGGACCACCAGTTGCATGGATGTGAAATCTGCAGCCCTCCAGATGTTTTTGGACTCTCAATTCCCATCATCCCTGAACACTAGCTGGATGTCCAACAGCTGGAGGTTTTTCAAGGAGGGAAACTGGAGCACCACCCTGGAAGAATTTTATGTCGTCTCTGTCTTCCACAATGCTTAATAATAAATAATAATAATTTTATTATTTGTATCCTTCCCACCTGACTGGGTTGCCCCAGCCACTATTGGCAGCTTCCAACATATACAAAACATAATAAAACATTACACATTAAATGCTTTCCTATATAGGGCTGCCTTCAGTTGTCCTCTAAAGGTTACATAGTTACTCATCTCCTTGGCACCTGATGGGAGGGCATTCAATAGGGCAGATGCCACTACTGAGAAGGTTCTCTGTGTGGTTCCCTGTAGCTTCACTTCTCACAGTGAGGGAACTGCCAGAAGACCCTTGGTGTTGGACCTCAGATGAACAATGGGAATGGAGACGCTCCTTCAGGTATACATCTTCCATTTTCAGTTGCAGAGAGTGCAGTCTTTACTCTCCAACTTGTTTTTATCAGTCTTCTCAAATCAGCCAATCTGCCGTTTTAAACTCCTAAGCTATCACTATGGGCAGTGCCCCAGTTTATGTCTTTAGGGAAGAAACAAAGTAAACACATAAATTCAGCACCTGATACTTTAGCATTTTTCTAGGGTGGCTGGTCCCTCCAAACTGAAAGCTTTGTCTTCCCCACTTCCTTTTTCTATAATAGCTACCTGCTACTCGACAGTCTACATAGAGGAACATGCTGAATTAAAGAAAGAGAAGAGGGAGGGCGGAGACTATGGCCACCCGTGACAAATCACAATGCAGTCTGTGAGCATGTGCAGAATTGGTGCCTCGTTGGGCACTGCATTCTCAGAGAGAGGCAGGCAGGCCACTTGTTCTAGTCTCATGGTGGCACCCTGCTAACAGTGAGTGATTTATGAACATGTTGGGAGGGAGATGGCAGCAATGGCTGTTCTGCTCCTCCTGGAATTGGTGCCATTTTCTCTTCCCAACTTTTGCCTTCTCTAGTCTTTCTGAAAGTAAGTAAGAAAGAAGACCTGGGGGTGAAGCAGGCTAGAAAATGGCAGCTACAGCTGCCTTTCACACCAGGAATCGTCACCTGGGGGAAGGAAGCGATTCTTTGGCTTGCCTGCTTCTGTCCATAGGCTCCCTATCACTGGCTTAGAGGTTTGCCAGCAATAGCTTGGCATTCTTTGAGCCCAGTGGATTATTTTTAGGACAATGCTAGAGAGTTAAGTACCTTTTCGTATTTTCTTTTCCCCCGTCTTGTGGGCAGACGTTGCCTGTATTTATAATAAGATATGCAGAATTTATAAGGGAATGGATACAATGAACTCAAAGTTAAACATCTAGGCTATGATCATTAGCATGCTTACTTGGGAGTCAAATATATTTCTGAGTACATATAAAGGAACTGAAGAGCTTAATACTGGTTGGTTTAAATTTGTAAAGAAATAGAAAAATGCAAAGAGTTCTACTTTGAATGAGTCATTTCCCAAATAATAACCCCCCCCCCCATTTTCACACCAGCTGCTGGAGCTGATTCTGGGGTGCGACTTATTAGAAGGGTTAAAGGTCTTGGTTGTTGCTTTGGGCTTTTCTGAGCATCTTAATAATTCTTCAGACAGAATAGATAAGAGAACATTTATTCTGCTTCCCATCTGACAGACCGTAAGTCTAAGAATGGAGATGGTAAAAAGGTGACAGTTCATTCATGACCACATTTGCAAAGAATCCTGAGAGCATGGTTAAGTTAAGCCATGTGAAAAGCACATCAATATTTTAGATTATTTTTAGCGGTGCTTTGGTTGTACTTCACATCCATATTTCTAAAATATGTTAAACCCTTGAAAACACTGCAATAAAATAGATATAAAGCAATCTACAGAAGAGCTAGCTCAAGTATGGAGAGCAGCCTTGGAATATGAATTAAAATAGAAAAATATTAGGCTAGCCTATTCATTGCAAGCCACAAATAAAAATGATGTGATGTTTGTGCTCCCTTAAAACTAATAGATGGCAAAGAGCTGAAATAATAATGTATCAGAACTTCAGGATGATTTCTTTTTATTCTGTACTATACAAAAAGAAAAATCTTTCAGTGCATTAAGGTTGGACACAGTCTAGGATTGTACAGATCAGTCTTTTCTCATTCCTTGACAGTTTTGCATTCCCTTAGTCCCATTTTTGAGTGCAATTTTTTTTTAAAAAAGCAAAAAAGCAAAAAAATTGTTCAAATGGTTTGCATTTTGTATATATTTTATACAAATTTGTCCATTCTAATAGATGATATATGAATTTCCCCCAGAAACTCTCTTTTGTCTAATTTTTTTAAACAAAACTAAATCGCAAAATTCATACAAGTGGATAATCGAATTGACAGTTGTGTTTTGATCTGCACCCAGTTTTTCATGTTACTGCAACTATTTGCAATTTTTTTAAAAATCCTCATGAAAATTCATTAGCATTTCTTCTAATACACATATTTTTGTATGTAGTTTTGACTCATATATACATTTTGGAAGCAATTTTCCCAAATACAATGCACTGCTGTATGTTATTTTAATAAGTGTAGAGGATGTGATCCCTGAGCAATCAATGAATAAAATTGAGGTCTAAATGAATGTAATATATTTCTATCACATAGGTATATAGAAATTTAGAAACTTTTTGGGGAAAAGGGATCTATGGCTGGTAGCCATTAGACTGTACTGAATTGTACTTTTACAACATTAAAATACAAATGCAGTGTGAAGTAGTGCATAAAGTTGTTCTAGAATACCTGGCTGTATACCTACGTAACAGAAAGCTATTATGTTCATTTAGACCTTGACTTTATTCATTGTTTGTTGTTTTCACTTATACCTGCATTTTTGTACACGCTACTTGTCTGGATAATGGCATTGCAAAATTCGGAGAAGTGCACATTTCTGAAGGGTGGCTGTGTTTCAGTTTACGTATCATTTTGAAAAGATGCATTTGGTAGGTTTGCCTTGAAATGTGAACTGAATCAATTTGGCCCACCACCCCTAGTCTAGGGGAATTGAAACTGGAACAATGCGAGACTGAAGGCACATTCTTTCACCTTTGGTGGACATGCCCAAGGATTAAGACATTCTGGGAGATGATTTATAATGAAATGAAAAAGGTATTTAAATATACCTTCCTGAAGAAACCAGAGGCCTTTCTCCTGGGCATAGTGGGCCAATTGGTGCCAAAGAAGGATAAAACTTTTTTTAGGTATGCAACAACAGCAGCAAGAATACTCATCGCAAAGTATTGGAAGACACAAGATTTACCCACCCGGGAAGAATGGCAGATGAAGTTGATGGACTATATGGCACTGGCGGAAATGACTGGCAGAATCCGAGACCAGGGAGAAGAGTTGGTGGAAGAAGATTGGAAAAAATTTAAAGACTATTTACAGAAATACTGTAAAATTAATGAATGTTAGAAAAATGTTGGAATGAAGTTATATGGCTTTAGTAGAAATGTTATAAGGAATTAAGTACAGATAGGTTAATAGAGCATTAAAGGAAAAATAAGGTTAGAATGAATTAAGATAATTATAGGATAGAAAACAGAGGAAGATGGAAAGGAATTGCGGAAATAATTAACAGAAGTGGAATACAAAAAGGGAGGTGTGAGGAGGTTGTGGAAACAAGTGAATAAAAGATGGGATAATGAAATTGTTTGATTTATTTTATTGTTTTTGTTTTGTTTTGTTAATTTGATGTGCTGTATTGTATTGTCTTTTTAGTGTTTAAGTTTTTGGAAAAATAATAAATATTATTTAAAAAAAAAAAGAAAGAAACTGGAACAATGGAGGTGCTATGAAGCTGTCAAGTGCACTCTATGGGATGCATTCCTGTTGGTGGTATTTGGCTCATGATAAGTGGTAAAAGGAATGAAGGGTCTTTTCTCATTCCTTCCCAAACAAATATATGCCTCTAGCGATTCCTTTCTAATCCCTACAACAAAATTTTAAAATGTAACCTGCAGTGCCATGCAATGCCCTTATACCTGGCAGCAAGTCCACTAAGTACATCAGATTTCAATCTAAAACGACAGGACAGTTGCATAAAATGCCCTCTGCTTATCTAACTTCTTTAAATAAATGGTTTGTTTTGTTCCCTGCCAGATCTGCCACCTGAGTGTCAAGGATTTGTATATATTTATAAATCACATATTTGGAACTGAACGAGCAGTACTGTTTAACATCAAAGAACCAGCAAATTATTACCACTTGTTATGGAAAATTGATTTGTCCAAACTTGAAGTATTCCCATGATTCAAGGCTTTGGAGAGAATAAAAATAGCCATTAATTCCTAATTGCAAGAGGATAAGCTTCTATGTAGTAAGGGAGCATCTTCAGGGAATGGAACAGAGAGATACTAGAAGATAGATGGTGCACCTCAAATAGCGAAAACAAATGGGCTTGAAGGACAGGACCTGACAGTGTGTTTACTTTGAGCCGATTGATGCCTCCGGGTTTATAAATGGAACTGGCTACCTGAAGGATCTGGATTGGGCTGGGTGGTATTCATCATATAGAAGCTGATTGTACAAGCTGGCTAAAGACAAAATACCAAGCCGTCATCATGTGCCAGCCTAATTGCAAGCCACATGTGAGTTGCACCATCCTTATTTTTCCATGGGGCTTCATTTAGCATATGAAAGATGTCTGGTAATGCTAAAATAATTTCTCAGTGCCCAGCTGAGCTCCACTTCTCCAACAATGCATCGCACTGTAGCGCAATGCCCAGTTCCCAGGCCATAAAAGGCCTTCTACTGAAGGAGCACAGCACTGTTAAATTAATTGTTCAGTGCTATAGCTTGCGAGATTCAATCTGGATCCAAGCATAGTCTCTTGGGTCTCATTACCTGGGATATAAAGAAATCGCTTATTGCTTGATGGAGAAGACAAAGCTCAACTTGTGCTGTCTAAATCATAATGGCTTGACAGATAATAATAATAATAATAATAATAATAATAATAATAATAATGGAAACTGCAAGTCGCTTGAGGTGCAAGCCCTCCTCTTTCAGCTCTAAATGTAATTTTAACACGACAAACAGCACTGATGCATGTACTTATATACTGACAATGAGTTGCTTTGCTATTTGTCAGTAATGAGTAATTACTCTGGCAAGCGCGCAGTTGCTTGACAGGAGCAATATCAGAACGTATCAATTAAAGAAAATAATGAACCCGACACGAAGAAATCCTTTGAAAGCAAGCCCAGTCTGCTCCACTGATTTAAGTGAGAGCATAGGGAGAGGTAGAAAGTGAGGGAGTGTTGCAGTTATTGATGGCTATGGGTCAAGGTGCTTTTTCACAAACAGACTAGAATAGGAATGCTCTGTGTTGCTCTCCCACATCTGATACAATAAGAAAGCTTAAAGATGCCCATAATTCATTATATTTAAGACAACCAATTTCCTATGCTCTTAAATTCTATATTCTGCCTTCACTAGTCGAGGCAGTAAGCCTCTGATTACCAGTTGCACTCAGATAGGACGTGGGTGGCGCTGTGGTCTAAACCACTGATCCTCTTGGGCTTGCCGATCAGAAGGTTGGCAGTTCGAATCCCTGCAATGGGGTGAGCTCGGTCCCAGCTCCTAGCAGTTCAAAAGCATGCCAAAAATGCAAGTAGATAAATAGGTACCGCTCTGGCGGGAAGGTAAACAGTGTTTCCGTGCTCTGCTCTGATTTCACCAGAAGCGACTTAGTCATGCTGGCCACATGTAAAGCGAGATGAGCACCACAACCCTAGAGTCGTCTGCGACTGGACTTAACTTTCAGGGGTCCTTTACCTTTACCTTTAGGGCTGGAGGAGAAATTCAATCCTGCTTGCATTTGAACAAGGAACCACCTAATTTGCACTTCTCAAACCAATAAACAAAATGAAACACAATGAGCCTTCCGAATTTGCCTTTCTCCCAGTTCTGCAATCCAGTTCTCCAAACAATACCACGTACCAAAATGCATATATTAGGGGGGAATTGTGCATACCAATATTAGTAAAATATTGGTATGCACAATTGGTATGCACATATATTAGTAAAAATAACATGCATGATCTGCAACAGAGCTCAATCCCCCTTACGAGAAGCAAAGCATTAACTAGCTGTGACTAAAATAAATGATGTTAAATAATGAGAACGTGGTATCAAATGGTGTTAAAAGGCCTGGGAGAATTGAAGGGAACTCTTTGTCCTGCACTGAAAAAGCACTAAAGTAGGTGCTGAGCCAGGCAAGTCCTTCTTGGGAGAACATTCTACCAAGCGGAGGCCTTACTGAAGATGCACTTTTTCTTGCAGCCATATTTCACTATGTAGGGACACTCAGAGGAGAGACTCTGTAGATGATCTCCAAATGGTGTTGGACTCCACCTCTCATCAGCCCCAGCTAGCATAGCCAATGGCCAGGAATGATGGGTGTTGTAGTCCAGTAGCATCTGGAGGGCCACAGGTTTCTCATCCCCGATCTAAAGGCACAGATACATGCATATGTAAAGAGGCAGATAACGGTATTCAATGCATCATGAGAAAGCATTTCCGAAAAGCTTGAAGCCTTGCCTAATCTAACTTATTCCCATCATCTCGACCCACAAAACAACTGCACTCTAATAGGAACTGGGCTTTCAGCCCATCAAAAGTCATGGTAGTCCCCACTGTTGCCTTTGAACAGAGACTGCAGGTTTGCCAAGTTACGGGGAACCAGGCAGAGGGCCTTCTCGGTAGTGGCACCCGTCCTGTGGAACGCCCTGCCACCAGATGTCAAAGAGAACAACAACTACCAGACTTTTAGAAGACACCTGAAGGCAGCCCTGTTTAGGGAAGCTTTTAATGTTTGATGCATTACTGTATTTTAATATTTTGTTGAAAGCCGCCCAGAGTGGCTGGGGAAGCCCAGCCAGATGGGCGGGGTATAAATAATAAATTATTATTATATTATTATTATTGTTAGCCATCATTTGCTGAAATTAAGCAAGATTACATTTCTCAAGCTAGCGTATTCACAACGGTGGTTGTCCTGGATCAGATAATTTATACCTGGCCTCTTGATCCTTGTGATTCATGAGGCAGCTAGCAAATATAAAATATAAAACCACGTCACAACCTTAGAGACCTCAACAAATAAAACAATCAGCAACACAAAACAAATATCACAACAGTGTCATGCCATGGACGGCAGGAGTCACCCTTTAGGGTCAGTGTGGGAGGATTATTATTTTTCTCTAGCTATGCTCCTAAGAATGCAATTCAGGCTTCTGTGTTGATCTGCTAAATAGTAAGGTGACTTTGTATGCCTGATACGTCATATGACTTATTGCAACTGCTTCCAACAGGCTAAAATGTTTTTTTTAAAAAATAATCTTTATTGCTTTTAAAACTTACAAGAAAAGAAAAAAGAAGAAAATAGGCGAGAGAGAAAGACAAACTAGAGCAGAGAAGAAAAAAAAGAGAGAGAAAAGAAAAAAATAATACAATAAACAATACAAAACACAACCTTAACACACTAAATTAAACAAAGCAAAACAACAACAATTTAAAAACATATACCATACCATTTCATTACTCTATCTTTCATTCCCTTATTTCATCGACCTCCTCTCACCTCCCTTTTGTATTCCACTTCTATTACTTGTTTCAGCAATTCCTTTCCATCTTTCTCTATTTTTATCATTATGAATATCTTAACATATTTTGTACCTTATTTTCCATTAATACTGAAATACTTATTTATACCTAACTCCTTATAACATTTCTGCTAAAGCCATAAAGTTTCATTCCAACAATTTTCTAACACTCATTAAATTTACAATATTTCTATATATAAACTTTAAACTTTCCCAATCTTCTACCACCATCTCTTCTCCCTGGTCTCGGATTCTGCCAGTCATTTCCGTCCATTCCATATAGTTCATCAACCTGGAGATCTTCTGTCCGAGGCTCTTAAATCTTTCCCAAGTCCCTTCTGCAGTTTTTCTTCATATTCTTTGATGCTGGGGATGCTGAAGCGCAGGTCTTGGGGAGCCCCCGACCCAACCATGCCCCCATTCCCTCTCGACAGACCAACCAACTCTCCACAGCTAAAACCAGTGTCCATACAATATCTCAAATCATGTTTCAAGGCTCCTCCAGATCCAAAGGCCCCCACAACTCCAGTCACCTCCTGACCCAGATTCAGGACCCAAAGGTCTGTAAATCTCTGCATAAAAGAGTCTATCCAACCTTCCTTCTTCAATCCAAGCAGGGCTCCAATCTTCAAATTCTGACTTTTTCTATATTCATTCATAAAAGGCCTCCACTTATAGTCCTCAGTTTGCCTCTGTAAGACTGGGGCTTCCACTTGTATTATTTTAGATTTAACAACACCAACATTCTCCTTCGTCTTCTCCCCAGTTTGTCCTGTCAAGGTAGGTTCCTGTGTCAAATCCTGAACAATTTCTGTATTAATGGTCACTTTTTGTTCCAAATTAATCACTTTTTGTCCCAAGTTCTCTTTTTTAAAAAAAAGATATTTATTAAAGTTTCAAGAAATACAAAAAAAAAATACAGAGTACAAAAAAAGAAGAATAACGTTTTTAAAATATAACAAAAAAATAAAGAATAAAAAGAAAACATACAAAATAAAACAGTTAAAAAGACATTGATTTTCCAAACCTATCTTCCCTACACTTATTTCCCCGGACCTCCTCATACCTCCCTTTTTTGTATTCCAGATCAGTTTGTCAGTTCAGCAAATCCTTACCATTAAACTGACCTCCATATTGAGCTTTTTCTG